CTGACAGATGGCCATCCATCCTCTGCTTAAAGACCTCCAAGGAAGGAGTCTCATGATAGGAGAAAAGTCAATATTAAGTGTGCATGTGTCCTTGTTCTAATAATTCTTCTTTACAGTTATGACAGTCTTTGGCAATTCTTTATTTGTATATCTATCTATAAGTTACATTTTTCCTCCAGTGAGCTCAAAATGATAGACAGGGCTCTCCTCCTCTCCACTTGTTATTCTCACAACAACCCTTCAAAGTAAGTCAGGCTGAAAGAGGTAGTGACTGGCCTTGAACATCTACTGAGTTTCAAGAATCAATGGAGAAGTAGTTCTTCTGATTAACCCTAACCATATCCACTACAGTACAGTACAGTACAGTACAGTACAATACAGTGGGGTTTTCTTATCCATGGGCCTGCCATCCATATATTTGACCTTCTGTAGACTGCAAGCCCAGCTGTTTGTAATGGAGGTGTGTGCATGTGGCTGCACCACCATAAAAAGCAATGGGACTTGAAGTCTGGAATGGGTCTGGAATGGATGTCCTGTGATTAAGAAGGGACTACTGTTTTTATTTATTGTTTGTTTAAAGTATTTCTGTGTCAGGAGCTCCTGAGGCAATAAACACATAAAAACCTATTAAAACAGTACAAAGGTTAAAAACATTTTAAAAACACATTAGAATATTCTAAAGACAACCCTAGAATCCAGTTTTAAAACAGTTAAAGTGCAAGTTTCAAACATTGAATGCCATGTGTAACAGCACTGTTTTGGCTGCCTGGTGGAGGTTTAAAAGAGATGGGGTCAACCAGACTTCCTTGGATAGGAAGTTCCACGGTTAAGGGGTTCCCCTGTTCCCACCAACCTAACACCATAAAGTGTTGGGACACAGAACAAGGTCTCCTCTGAAGATCTCAAATTTCTGGCTGGCTCATATGGAAGGAGGTGGTCTTTCAGATATCCTGGCTCCAAGTCATTTAGGGCTTTGTGGTTCAATACCAGCACTTTGAATTGAGCTTGGAAGCAAATTGGAAACCAGTGCAGTTCTTGCAAGAACAATCTTATATGGTCTCTAAAATGCACACCTGACACCAGTCTGGCTGCAGCATTTCACACTAGCTGCAGTTTTTAAACACCTTTGCAGAGCAGCCCCATGTAGATCACATTACAGTAGTCTAAACAGGAGGGAACATGAACTACTGTGGTCACATCTGTCTTGCTCAAGAAAGAGTGTAGCTGTCACACCAGCTGAAGCTGTGCAAAAGTGCTCCAAAGTCTCCACAGCAACCTGCTTTCCAGGAGCAGCACTATGTTCAAGACCACCCACAAGCTTTGAAACTGATTTTTCAGATGGATGGTGTCTTTATAAAGGGTGATCAGTTTTGGTGAGAATCTATCATTTTGGGAAGACATAAGCAAATTCATACTTTCTTATAGTATTTCTATACATGGAGGGTCTCTACTAACTGAAGAAAAATGAACTCTGTTAGAGATCTTCTGTCTTGTTCTGTTTTACAGATCTGCTCTGTCCTGCATGTCACAATGGGGTTGAGTGAGAATGTGATTTTCAGTATCTCTGCCAGAGCTTGAGACAGTCTTTAAATCAGGAAGCAGAAACTGGACAGCTCACAGTGAAGGGTTTATTTACAGATGATAAAGAATCATTACTTACAGATGCAGAAACAGAGTTCAGGATGGAAGCAAACACAGGATTCTTCCTCAGCATCTCACAACAAACACCAACAGCACTGACTCTCCATGACTCCACAACTCCACTGACCTGCAACTACTGACCCATAATAGTTTACTTTATATACCTTTGTCTGATGCAACCTCAGTGCAGGGTTGCTCATAGATTACACCACTGCACATTACATCATTCTGCTAAGTCCTACACTCACAGGTGAAGTCCAATACATGTTTAGGTGTCTGGCCTCATCAAGGACATTTATCACCAGATGTCAGGCCTTGT